TGCTATTAAATGAAATTAAATAGCAGAAAATTGGTAACTTTACAATTAGCTGTATGTCGTATTCATAAATATATGATATATTAGAAGTTGATGTTTGCTTAAATCTAGTATGTTACTAAAACAAAGAGTATACCGTACATTTGTCATAATTGGCAACAACAATACATTTAAGAATAAAGGTATCTAACAATTGTCGTCTATATAGTAATCATTGATTATTAACAGTTACTGCATTTAAATAAGATTTATATTAATAATATCATGAGATAAATCAAGCTCCAATAAATTTTACCAAAATTTCCTATAGCTCATGTATACTATTTATTTTAGTAAGCATAATTTCAATAAGAATATCTAAACTTACAATAGATACAAGTTTGTATTGTAGATGAAGTACTAACTTAATCGCTGTACTATTGGTAGTTTCCATTAAATAATAGTGTAATTTAATATTTAGGAACAATATAATTATTATCATTTAGAGATTTATAACTTTATTGTTGTCAACAGGTTTTTTAGAAATGAATTAGATATAACTTAAATATATACCAAAATCTAGGACTGCTGATAACAATAGCTATATATAAGCAATTTTTGCGATAATTCAAGTATGTTGATTTCAGCTTCGTAAAATATGATACTAATCATAGAATTTTATTCTCAAACTAAGTTTTGTAAGTGTCAAGTGATGTTTTTCGCAATTGTTATGTTGTAAATAACTTTAATAAAGTATTTTAAGCGGCTACACTTTCCTGTCGCTGCTGTTCTTAGTCCTTGTCACAAAACAGCTTTGCAACAAGATAACGTAATATACGATCAATAAGTCAATTCCTTGAACCACGTATCAAGGAACGATATCTGCACTATCGCAAACACTTTTGCTCTACTAGCAGACTACACAAAGACTTAAACGCCCCGTATTTTACGTTAAACTCTAAGTTGGAGAATTCTTCTTTATTTCACGATATACTGCATTTATATACTACTTCTCAATAGTTCATGAGTCATAGTTAATCCAATAACCTCGGAATTATTTACTGAATTAGATATTAATTTTAGCTACTGCTCCCTTAATGCAGACAACAGTATTTACGAACATAGACATGTAATGACTAATACAGAATAGTCAGATTACGATATGTCCTTGTAATGTAATTTAGTATTGTGATTGTAGACTGTTAGCCATGTGTAGTATAATGTACGGTAGATATTTATCCTAAGAGATATTTGGTAGCTGTAACTATAGACTGTAGTGGTAGAGACTCTATGCTAGAGTACAGATGACTATATACAGTAAGCTGTTGAGTTACTAATATGGCTGTAGGTAAAAATAGAACTGTAAATCATATATTAGGATATGGTTAATTCATTGTACTTTGCTTGGTGTGAATAATGTCTACGTAAGTACTGTAGTCGTATCCGTATTGGATTAATGATGGTCCGCAGTAGAATAGTCTTACCAAGAATAATTTAACTATGTGTAAAATAAGGTAAAAGGTTGCCATGCGGATTGTAGCTGCGAATGCTACGGAAAGTATAAAAGCGTGCAACTTTAGATTATTCTGTTAGTTCGTTGTAGAAGTCTTTAGAAGTAGTATTCGGCTAGAGTAGGGCTGTGTAGTTAATCTTTGTATAAGATTGAATAAAGCCCTTATTTTTCTAAAATTTGGAATGTCGTGATTGGTATATATCACAGTCCTATCACGGAACATTTTCATGATAATTTACCGTCTACCATAAGTAAATTACAATCACAATGATTCGAACTGTAAGTAGATGATTTGCATTCCCTATTATAACTATTAATTTCAGTATGTGTATAAGTGTCACTGTCTTAAAAAGTCAGTACTATATTAAAACTCAGTATATCCAAATTAGAAGTTAACTAAATAAGGATAGTCTAACAGAATTATCCTAACATAGTTATTTCTACTGTAATACAGTATTTAACACTGTAACAGTCCTTCTTTTTAAAGATCTGCTGTTGTAGGAAGTTTTCGTGGTCTATCAGAGTTTTTTGTTATTACATAAGATCTCAATTGATAGAGAATCAATAATAAACCTACTACTATAAATCACTTGTGTGATCTACACTCTAACATTATTAGAACAGGTTTTGTTTCTTATGTACTGTTCAAAATGAGAAAATTTATTCTAATGTCTTCATAAATGAAATTATTTTCGAAAATTCTTTAACTATGAAACTTCGCTATATCTCTATTTTAAAGTTACTATTAGAGCTAGCAATAAATATTATAGAGTGACAATGAAATTTGATTCAGAAATAAAAACACTCAATCGTAATTGTCCATGGTATTGCAGTTATATTTTACTTATACAATTGGTTGTATTTAATTGTTGTAAATATTTGTAGATTACGACAAAATCTTCATTTGCTAATGTTTCTATCTTTATAAAAGGAAAACAAAATATAAATATTTTATACTTGATAATGTAGTAAGTATTTAAATAGAAATTAAAAGCCTCGTTATAACAGATGTTTTGCACTTCTCGTTACAATTTTCTTATATCAGGAAAAATTGTTTTAATGCTTAAATTATCTAATTGAATTTTTAATTCTAAAATATAAGATTAAATGATCTGCTATGATTTATATTCATTAATTTAATATTATAGTGATTAGTTGGCAAATTTTAGCGTATATTTAGGTAAGTGGCAAACTGAATGCTTTTGTACTGCTTCTGTCAGTCACTTCTTGATTAGGTTAACGTGATTGCTATTCTAATTTTATTTTCAAAAGTAGTTAAAGAAACTACATACAGTTTAAAAAGATTTACATTACCTGCAGTTGGCTGAATGTACATCTGTAAAAAATTAAATTAGAATACTAAGAATAGGAGCATAGACAGCGGAAATATCGAAAACGGTTCAGAATATAGTCTCAATATTGCACTATTTTATTATCTTTAAAAGTTCTCTTTGATAGTAACTATAGATGGTTCATAAACTGATTTCTAACCAGACGATTAATTACCTGGATGGAATAAATCCACATTACTCCCGGAATGAAGTACTTAAAACGAATTTTCATGCTCTCTAGGCAAAAAAATAAAAAATATATTAACATGAAAAATAAAAGATATGTGGAAAGCTAGTCTTTGTTTAAATTTTATGTAACGTTGTTAGTAGTAATGTATGTTACTATGCGTTGTTTGAAGAATAAGAATTTTCTCCAGCCGTAAAGTGAAAATCTGTCAAGGTAGAGAGATTTTAATGGATTACATCATAATTTGGCCTTGTTGTGACAATGTTATATACCGTATTAGGGTAGAAATATCTTGTTGGATAATTCTATCCTTATTTAGTCAACTTCTAATTTGGATATACTGTGCTTTAATATAGCACTGGCGTTTATCTGTATTATTTTGTACTTCAAGCTGCAAAAATTTTTTGGATAATATCTAAAATCTATAATAGTTATAATTCTATTAGACCTTGTGTCAACAAAGATACCGATTATGTTTGTAAATATAAGTAAGATATCTGGATTTTACAGCACAATCATTTTACCCTGGATGATGTATTAAAACAGCGCGTTCATAGTACTTCAAGTATTGAAAAAATATGGATTAATTTACTATTTAAATGGATTGAATATTTCTTATAATAGCTATAAATTTTTGGAAACAGAAGTACGCTATTGCGATGCGAATATTTTAGTTCACCCTCAGTTATCGTCGTACATAATCGTTATGTCATTATGTAATAAAGGACTAAAAGCAGAGTCCTTTAAAGCTTTTACTACGTAAATTTTTTCATTTACTATAGAAAATATCTAGAAAGTGATAGTATCTTTCAGTTTTGCCCTGCCAAAATCTTATTGTCGTCATCATTTTTTCTTTACAATTTTACAAGATATTATATAAATTGCTATAGGAATAACCTAAGAGAAATCGCATAATCTAAAGAAAGGGCGTTTGATAGTCTATTGAGATTATAAATGAATTTAACTTCGTAACAAACCCTATCCATAGAGAAAGCGGATTTATAACATGACAGTAAAGTTCTTTAATGTTGGCTATAATAGTACAATTAACGTACAACTTCATGCTAAAACATCAACTGTCAATACTAATGTCAGAAAAGTTGCCATAGTTGTAATATAAAATTTTTTGATAAGCGATTACTGTGATCTTTATAAAATTCCGATTTTCGGAGTTTATTTTTGGAAAATGTTTTAAGAGTTGACTTTTGAAATTTGAACTTTTTGTTTTGAATATGAAACTACGGGAATTTATGACGTGACGTGAAAGCTACATTACGAAAATTTAGT